AGTCAGGCTCTGAGCTGTCAGCACAGAGTCTGACTCAGGACACGAACTCGCGAACTACTGACAGCTCAGAGCCTGGAGCCTGCTTCAGATTCTGTGTCTCCCTCTCTCTCTGCTCCTCCCCTGCTCACACGCTGTCTCTCTCTCAAAAATAAAGATTAAAAAAAAATTTTTTTAAGAATAAATTTTAAAAAATAAAATAAAATGAAAACTAATTTTGCAAACAAGTAGTTTTGAATATACAAAACATCCTGCCCAGCAGAATTTTTAACTTAGCTGCTACGTGTTCAAAGCAGTACTAGTCAAGAAAACCGAAGGATAGAAACAGCCCAAATGCCCATCAATGGATGAATGGATAAAATGAGGTATATATAAAATATTCAGCCATAAAAAGGAATGAAGTACTGTTGTATTCTACAACATGCATAACCCATGAAATACTACGCTAAGTGAAAGAAGCCAGACACAAAAGCCCACATTTGTATGATTCCATTTGCATGAAATATCCAGAATTGGTAAATCCATACAAACAAATCCCATATTAGGGACTGGGAAGCCAGGGACTGGGAAGGGACAAAGGAGAATGAGGAGCAACTACTTAAATAGGTTTGGGATTTCCTTCAGGAGTGATGGAAATGTTTTGGAACCTGATAGAAGTGGTTGCACAACACTGTCAATGCACTAAATGTCACTGAATTGCTCACTTTAAAATGGTTATGTCATGTATATTTCATCTTAATTTGAAGAAGAAAGAACACTTAAAAACAGCTGCCATAATATTTTAAAGTGGACTTTTTGTCAAATGAAACTATTCAAGTTTAAATTTGGGAATTTCAGTTACAAGTCAAGTTTCAAACCTTAACACCTACTAGACCCATTTTAATACCGAAATGGTTTGGAGAGTTTTATGGCAAAAGTAATCTCTTAAAAAGCTGTTTTCATAGCTTTAAATGCTGTCCAATACTTTGGATGTATATACAATTCCTACTTACATGAGAATACTACGTTATTGATCATGAATTTGCTTTACAGCATTCTCTAATCACATCTGTCCTCAGTAAAAGTTTGCAGACATCAACTATTTATTTTCTTATAATAAAAATACTCATTAAAACAAGTTGTTTTTACTTTGTTAAATCTCAATAACCTAAACACATAATTCAGTGCCACTACTCTCCACACATGTCACTTTCCCATTTGTGCCTATGTTATAACACACACCACCATTCAGTCTGCCTGGAAGCAGAATTACTTGGGTTATATGTCCCTCTCCCATTTCCCAAGCTCCTTGAGGGCCCTTCAGTCCTTTTTTGCACCCATCATAACACTACAAAGTACCTAACAGTATCTTCAACATACAAGGTGCTCAAGTAATGTCAGTGGAATTGAAATAAATGTATTTTGCTGAAATAATTATGCTAAAAAGACAACATATGAAGACTAAAAGGACTAATAAGACAATACCGTCCAGAGAATCCTTAAGCCTCACGTTTAGGCATGTTTTTCATTGCAACTCTACTGAACAAACAGTCTACTGAACATCATGAAGTAACTCAACTAATACCCAGAAAGAATAAGGATTAATCTTATCCATCTCTTTTGAAGTTCGTCTACATATGAAATAGGGAAACTGAACTTAATGAACCACAGTATTCCAAACCAGGTCACAGGAGAGCTCTAAGTCCCCAACCATCCTGTTTCTATTTCCTGATTGGTCTGACCTCCAAGCATTACGGTGTTCAACCTTCCCAATTCACGAGCTCCTTTAAAACATCTTCTGAGGTGGGCTTTTAATTAAAATAAAAACTGACTCCCAGAACTTTCTAGAATTATGAACAGGGCACCCCACTTTTCTTCATCTTTCAAAACACTCTGCTCAAGAAATGTAGTTTTCAGAAAAGACCCGTTATAGTTACACTTCGAATTAAATGTGGGCCATAAACTTGCCCAAGTGTTAACACGATGGCATTACTCTAAGAAAGCAGATTTAAACAGACATGTGCACGAATTTCAGAGAACTCTTACACCTCAAGAATGTACATCTTTAAAACAAAAAATATTAAAAACCTAGGAAAGATGAAAAGTTAAGTACGCTTACACTTCACAGGGTCAGCTTTTTCTCCGCACCACGCTGGCAAAGCAACGACAAGCAGACACCACTTGGGCAGCGGCCCCGATCCTCAGCCTCCAAACCGCAGGCGTCCACTGGCCATAGGAGTCCCGGAGTCGAGTTCCCCACTAGTTCGCATCCAGCCAAGCCCGCGGCCACTTCCACGTCGCTGCGACCCACACAACTCTTCACGCGATTTAAATCTGCTCTTCATTCACCGCAAGCACAAACACACACACCCACACACACAAATCCGCTCTTCGCTCATCGCGCGCGCGCGCGCACACACACACACACACACACACACACACGATATTACTAAGCCCCAGACAACCAAGCCACCAGGGAAGCGGCGAGCTCTTGCGAACGAGGAGAGGAGACGCTTTTCGGTCCCGCCCCGCCCGGCACCCACCTGCAGGCCGCGAGCCCGAGGACGGCGGCGCCGGCGCCCCGTCCTCGCCAAAGACGAGTTTGAAGTCGAGCTCGTCGTGGGCGCCACAGTTTGCAGTAGTCATCGGCGTGGCCCAGGGTGCTGCGGCTCCTCCTCTGGCGGCGGCGGCGACGGAGGCGGCGGCAGCGGCAGCGGCGGCAGCAGCTCCTCAGCGCCGCTTCATGCCCGGCCGCTCGGGCCAGGAGGTCGCGGCTCCGCGGCAAAGTTTCCGGGCAGGGACCGTGACACCGAGCGTTCCGTTCCGAACTTGAGAGCTGGCCGCGCGCCGAGCCGCACCAGGAGCCGCCGTCACAACCCGTCGCTGGTGCCTAAGCCGCCACGGTCGCCTTAGCTGATATTCCCCGCCCCCCAACAGCCGCCTCAGCCAGCGCGCTGCCGCGCAGGGCTGCACGACTAACCCCGCCCCCTACCGCGCGCCCATCAGAGCGTGCTGCGCATAGGCCACTAGCGCCCCTGCTAGCCCAATGGCTCCGCCCCATCAACGGCCTACCGCGTGATTCCCTCTCCGGGAGAAGGAAGTCACGTGCATAAGGAGAGCTGGATAACCCCAGTATCTCTTGGGAGTTGTAGTTCGGCCGCTATCCTTTCCTCAACTTCTAAACCAGGGCCCTACACCCGCGTGTGAGGCGGATAGCCCTCTGTTATTGGATTGAATGCAATCCAATCCACCCGCCAATCGAAGATCCCATTCCTTACTGGGCAGAGCTCACGTCGAATATGGTTATGGCTTCGGTGAAGGGCGGCTGAAATGTTACTCTAATGGCTGGGTTTGGGGAATGTGTCAGGGCCCCGGAGGGGTATTACGTGAACGCCACTCACAATCTCATCCTGCCACCCCAACCCTAATGGCGGAGCCTGGGGTGAGGCCCGCTGGGCTTCCAGCTCGGTTGGGGCGGAGTCCGAGGAGACCTGCGCTACGCGAGGAGTCCGGAGTCTCTGCTCCTCAACGATGCAGATCCACCCCTTCGGGGCGGGGCCCGCTCCCGGTAGCGGCGCCTTTGTCCGCGTCGGCTAGGGAGCAACTACTCCCTGGAGGACAGCCAGCGCGTTAGAGGACTCGGCAGAGCCCCATGGGCAAAGTCTGCCCGTTGCTGTAAGCCGACTGAACCAGAAAGCCCGTCATGATCTCGCACCACTCACGGGCTCGGAGACCTCAGCATCCCGGTGCACATCCGTGAAAGGAGGGCCCGATACCCAAAATGAGTGGTTTGTTAGTGGAGAGGAAGTGACACTGTCTGAAGAACTGTTTTTCGCTCTCGGTTCCTCCCCAGCGAGACTGTCTTCCCTTGAGACCCAAGACGCCTCCTCCTGGGCCTGGGGTGGAAGCTGTGCCAGGGGACGCTGAGCCTGGATTGTTTACTTAGGACTCCAAGAGGCAGGGTGGACTGGGAGCTCGAGAATTGGGAGAAGGAGCGGTGACCTACTTCCCTAGCTCTAGGCTCCAAAGGGCACAGTATCAATAGAAGCATGTTGCATAGGAACTCAGGGCACTAGGTCTCGGCCTTGGGTGCAGGTGCAAAGGCCCAGGAGCTCTCCCACAAAAAGGAGAAGAGGGCAAAGTGGAGTGCTTTGCAGAAAGGTTTCAATATATGGACCGATACCTGAGCTACCAGGGAGCCCTAGGGAAGGCCTAACTAGGCCTCAAGTCAGGAGGACAGGTAATGTCCAGAGCAGATAAAATGTTCATCTTGGATTGGGCAGAAAACTTTTCCTGCTGAGTGCTCTGTACCCATACCTGTGCTGAACCTAGGAAAGCAGAAATAAATTAGTCTCCCTTCAGGAGAGCGGGAGAGGACAGCAAATCTATAATCACTGTGTGAAGAGATTAGGCTTGTGCCAGGATCTCCAAGAAGGTTCATAATTCCACTGGGGTTACAGGGCCTCCACAGGACTAAGTAGGAATTGGAAAGATGGCCAAGAAGTGAGGAAGATGGTTCCAGGCAGAAAACAGATTGCCAAAAACTTAGAAATCAGAAAGTACCTGCAGTGAGCAGAAGCCAAAGATAAGGCCAGATGAATGGGCAGAGTGCTGCAGGCCACTACAAAGTACCTAGATTTTATCCTGAGGGAAGCAGGGAGCCATAGAAGGATTTAGAGCAAGGAACTTAACATATTCAGAATTTTGGATGAATTACTGAGTTGTACTGGGGGAGGGTGAAATTAGGGGCAGAAGAAAAGAACAGGTCAAGGAGAGGGAGCCAATGGCATTGTGTGGGTGGTACCCTCCTAATGAGCAATTTCAGGATGTGTTGTTCATCACCACCCCCGACCTCCCCCCAACATACTTTCCAGGTTATTATCTGGATTGAGAAAATGGATCTTTACCTAGCCCCTCTGCCCTCCAAACAAGGGACCCAGCTAGCCAGGCCACAGAGAATGCAAGAGGGAGACCCTGGACCTATCAGCCCTACCACCAGGAAGGGACCATAGAAGCTGGAGATGGTTTGAACAATTCACCAAAGCATCCATCTGTGTGTCTGTTTTACTCATCTGTGTTCCCAGCCACTGTGCACCTGGAGAACACTTAGAAGGGGTCATTTCCTGGGAAGGCTTATGGGCTGGAGAAAACAGAACTCTAACCTAGATTGATAAGGGCTAGAGCATCAGTAGGCACTGACTGTAGGAAAAGTGTCACCATCTTTGTAAGAAAAGCAGCAATGGCTTAGAGCTCTGCAAGGTGGGACAGAGGTCTACCCCACTCACACACACCAATACCTGAACTCTCTCCACTCCTTTTCCTCAGCCAAGGCCTCCCTATCAGCTCTTCCTCAGGCCAGCTCTTCCTCAGTCCAGCTCAAAAGCTCTTTTAGATGGTAAGAGGGCATCTGACCTGCCTCCAGCCTTCTGAGGGCCCTGTGAACCAGGAGGCCAGGGGACCAGTGCAATGGGACTCCTGACTGGTGGACAAGGACTACGGGGATTGCTATTCACCCCCTTCTTCCTCCTCTGTGAATTCCGGCCAGGCCTGAGACTTAAGAAAAGCCATTACTTTCATCAGCTGCCATAGGCCTGGACCTGAACCCCACTGCTGAAGGCTCTCCCATGGCCTCTGAGCCATGGGATGGTACAGCTTAGCCCGGCAGGGCCCAGCCCAACCCCTTTTGTTCCACATTAGGGAAAATAGGAGCTTTGGAGGAAAGTCAGAGTTTAGAAAAGTTCTTTCTATGCCACATATCCCATACAACAAGCTTATTTGAGTCTTCTTTTGTGCCTGTTCCCTACTCCCATGCTGAGGCTGGCCATAGGGAACACAAGGACTGCCCTTGAGCAGCTCTCAATCTGGGCAGAGGCAATACCAGCCAACTACAATTGACCAAAGTTGTTTGCTGAAGTCAGCACAGGGTGCTGAGAAGACAGGGTCAGCATTTTGTCCTCAGATGCCAGGCTGAGGAGTTTGGACTTGATCCAGAGGGGAGTGGCGAGCCATGGAAGAATTCTGAACAGGATTGACACTTGGAAGGAACTAAGTGTGCAGGGCTGGAGGGTTAAGAGATTCCCCACTCATCTTTTTACATTTTCTTTCTTTCTTTTTCTTCCTTCCTTCCTTCCTTCCTTCCTTCCTTCCTTCCTTCCTTCCTTCCTTCCTTCCTTCCTCTCTCTCTCTCTCTTTGAGAGAGCATGAGCTGGGGAGAGGGGCAGAGGGAGGGAGGGGGGGAGAGAGAGAGAGAGAGAGAGAGAGAGGATCCCAAGCAGGCTCTACACTCAGTGCAGAGCCCAACATGGGTCTCAATACCATGACCCTGGGATCATGACCTGAGCCAAAATCAAGAGTCAGACACTCACTTGACTGAGCCACTCAGGCGCCCCAAGATTCCCCACTCGTCTTTGCACAAAGTTGTCTTCTCGCTGTGACCTTTGGAAGATGTGCCACCCTCTCCAGCTTTATTCATCCCTCCTTCTCATGTGTCCCCAAAATGTGATGAGCTAAGAGCAAGTCCTCAATCTAGGTGGCTGGAATGGATGACTACGTGTTGTGGACACTAGCCCAGAGAGAGGTTTGGGCATCTAAATGGCCTTAGTTTAAGGTGGGCATGGTGAGAACAATAAGTGGAGCTTTCAGACCCAACTGGGCCCTCCCAGTTGGTCCCAGACCTTGGGAAGGTCACTGTGAGACCATGGCAGGCATCATTGAGGTATGCTAAGATGAGACCATTTGAGAGCCAACATATTCAACCAGGAACTTTGCCAGACATCCTCAGTTATGGAACATACACTAGCCCCTCCCTCACCTGCTCCCTGCAAATGCCCCTCTCCCCAGTGCTTTTCCTGGGCCCTCTAAGTCCCCATACTCCAGCCTCTATCTTAACAGCTGACCTCTACCTCACCTCTCCTTCTCCATAGCCCAGAAATAAACCTGATGCACCAAAGAAGGGGCTTCCCCAGGGAAACTACACTGGTGGAAGAGGCCTGAGGGTACAGTCCAAACCCACAGGAAAAATGGATCTTAAGACTTGGTATTTGGCTCCCATAGGATCCTTCCATAAGCTCTGACTAGCTCAGGATGCTGGGGGCCCACTGGGGCCTCTCTGTCTGCCCTGTTCCAGTTGGGATATGAGGAAAGACCAAGGGGCATTTTAACTGAGATAGTTTGTGAGAAAAGTCAGAAACTGTGCCTAAAGCTTGATGGTTAAGACTGCAACAAGCCTCAGTCTGTCTCCTGGGTGGGGCTCCTTCTCTTGGAGCACTGGTCTGGGAAGCTAGGGCAGCCCCAGCATAGAGTGACCCCATTAACCACAGAGTGCCCTATCATAGGCCTATTTATCCTCCAGTCAGCCTCATGCAGGCAGAGCAGCTGATCTCCCTCTCAGAGAGGGCCCTTAGGCCCAAAGAGAACTAGAAGTGACTTGCCCAAGGTCAGACAGCAATGGGCTCTGGGAGGCAGCTGGTAGTGCAGTATCCTTATCTGCATACAGAGGAACAAGTGTGCAGACAGGTGCAGCTCCAGGACTGAAACAGAGGCATCACCGCCTGATCTCAGGCCACCAGGGCCAGGGGCTGCTGGCTGGCATAGGGGCCTGACCCTAGAGATATGGGAGAAACATGGCCTTGGCCTAGAGGGGAATGCCCCTCCCTACAGCACTTGGAAAAGGGGAGGAGAAGTAGTGTGTTTACAGTGGAGGAAGCGGGGGTGGTGCAGGGCAGGGACCTTTGGTCAGAACGCCCCTCCCAGTAAGAGGGGGAGGCCCCATGAGATGTGGTAGCCGTTTGTTTGCTTCTCACTGCCAGGAGGAAATTAAAGAGAATCTGCCACTTCCTTCCGGCCCAAGTGGGATAGTGGGGGCTGGGGGCAAGCAGCGGCGTGGGTGGACGATTTTAAGGGACCCAAACTGCTGGCATCAGCAACCTGTGTTCTCAGTGTCCCCTACCCAGAGCAGACACCTCAGCAGGTCTGAACTCCAGCCAGCTGGGGGTCAGACCCAGGACCTGCCCAACGTATCTGAGCTGGTCCCTCACTAGGGTACCAGATACCCTAACTGTTCCCCAGATTCTATAGCACCTCTCATCAAGAAAGTCAGTTGATGGGCAGTACCTCAGGTTTGCCATCAGTAGAATGGGCTTCTTGGGCCTTTCTGGCTCAGCCCAAGTCCAATGAGCATTAAAGGATACACCCAACCCCCTACTTCCAACCAGATCCATAAGGATGGGTAGGGGATATGCTGTTGGAAGCTCTAGCTCTGCACAGAGGGTGGGAGTGAAATAATTATGCCAGGCCATGAGTCTGTGTGTGACAATGCCCAGGGCTGAAGCAAGTAGCCATGGGTAAGGGTAGAGGTGTCTTTATTGCACTGTACCAATGTCAAGTTGAGGAGGCGCCACCCAAAAAGTTCCTGTTTTCAAAGAAAATACTGAGGTCACTAGGAACTTGGCCCTGTTACTCAGATCCACCAAAGAAGATGTGCACCCTAGGAACCCTTTGGTTCAGGCTGATGGACCAGGCCAGGACCTCTTAACTCCTGCCAGGAACAGTCAGCAATTTGTCCAATGGCATCAGGTTCATGCTTTGCACCCACAGCCAACTTACGGCCAGGCCCCTAAGGGGGATGGCCAAGGTAGGGACAATGGTCACCAGCCTTCCAGGGGGCTCTCTTCACCACTTCCCAAGGCCACAAAGGGCTTCTTGCACAGCTTCCCAGGCACTGCTGGCTCCTGAGCTCTGGGACCCCCAGGATCTTGGTCAGGGGCTTCCCGCTTGCGCTTGTGCAAGGAGGGGCTCTCTTCACCCAGCCGACCTTCAGGGAGGCCCCGGCTCCGCAGACAGACGATGGCCGCAGCCTGCTCTGCCAATTTCTTAGACTTGTCCCTGGGCAGATGAGGTATGGGACAATAAGGCAGGTAGACAGGCAGGCTGGCTCCAGGACTAGAGGCTGGAAAGGCCTGACTCTACACACCCTTGACAAAGATTCTGACAAAACTGAGGAAGGGGTCATTACCCAGGGATGCCACTGCCCAGGTACACCATCCTCCCCAAACCCTCTTACATCAATGTTGGGTACAGGCCCCTCATCCCAAGCCCCAAGCCCAATGATGAGGAAACTCACCACAAGGTGGACTGGTACTTTTGCTCAGCAACAGTCACAACAGAGCAGAAGAGGCGATCCAGGGGGCGCTGAACCTGGTGCAAAGAGAGCAAAGGCAACAGGGATGGCTACATGGGGACGAGAGGAATGAGCCCTGGGGCTCACCTGCCAGGATCACAAGGAAGGCAGATAAAGGAAGTACTTCCCACCTAAGTTAAATGAAGGCTACTTGTATCACATGCTCCTTCCTAGCAGAAGTGCCTGGGCATCTGCCAGGGAAGAAAGACAGATACACAAACAGGTAACGACATTCCAGTATTTCAGGAGTTCAATCAGGGACCTAAGCAAAGGGCCATCAGACCCCTTAGCTGCACGTGACTATGGATCCTGCTTCTACTGACATCTGGATGGGCTAGGTCACCCAAAATGAGAGGAGTTGACCAGATGGCAAAGGGGTAAGAGGGGGCAAGGATGTGGCAGAGAAGGTACACTTGGCAGAGTGACCAGATGATGTGGCTGGACAGAGAGCAGAGTGGACGAGACATGAAGCAGAAAGGCATGTGGGGGGCCCTGTGCTCTGTGTTGAGGTGCTGGAGCTTGATCCCAAAGGCACTGGGGAGAGGATGAGGACTTGAGCAGGGAGGCAGAGGTCAGATTCGCTTTGGAAAACTCACTCTGGGAGAGGGCGACACAAGTCCCAGAAGGTACAAGTTTAGAGGTCAGAAGGTCAGTCCAGAAGAGACAGTGCAGCTTAAACAAGACATGGCCATGGGGACCAGAGGAGGTGAAGCAAGACTGTCTTAAAGTTTCCACCAAGGGGCCTCAAGTCTGGGGCCCAATTCTGTGCCCCAGTGGCTAAGGCCTGGTCCAAAAACATGTCTAACTTTTAGGTTTGAGCATTCTTCCTAAGTAAGCCAATAGGTCCTTTCCAGAGAAGTCTCCCTTGTCTAAGCAACACCACTGGCAGGGACTGGCCCAAGCAACCCCTTACATAGGCCTCAAGTTCAGTGTTATGAAAGTGGCCAGAATTAGACAACAGGCCCACTGACACAGAGAAGGGGCTATCATATCAGCAACTGGTCCAGCCGCCAGCAACCATTGCATATTGCAAGCCCACGGAAGACAAAGCCAGGCTCCAGCCAAGTAGTCTTGAGTTCAGGGTACAGGCTATGAGTGTGTTGGGGGGTGATGACATCGGCCATGGGAGCACTCTAGGGCCAGGTGCAGGACCTCACCGTGTCATACACAGGCTGCGCCAACTTCTCCCTCCGGCACCACTCCAGCAGGCACATCTTGGGGGTGATCTGGGGTGAGTATGCCCTCCTGGGAAAAGGAGAGGAAGGAGTCAGGGCTCACCCACCATCACCACCAGGCTTCTGCCTCAGGACTTCTGTACTTATTCCCCTGAGCTCCCATTTCTGTTCCACCAGTGGGGTGTGGCCTGGGTTCTGCCTAAAAGGAAGATGGGCTTCAGCATGCTTGAGGAATTGCGATAGGATGTGAAATCCCGGCACTCTGAACTCTAGCCTGGAAAACAGCCTTCAAAAGCCAAAAAGGAAGGTCCAGTTTGCCTCTTAAAACAAGACAGGAGGGAGTGGGTGGTGGTTAGGAATATAGATGGCCACACAGCGGTCTCGGATCTAGCTTACTACCCACCCTTATCATGTCCCCTGAGTATCAAGATGATCTGTTTCTGCCTTGGACACAGTGTACTCTTATTTCCAGAGTCAGAGCCAGTCGGTGATAGGGTGACAGAGTGGGAGGCACTATGTTCCAACTTCCCACCAGGAGCTCTCCCCAGATATGACTGACCAACTATGCCCACACTCCTTCCTCCCAAGCCCTTGCCAGACAAGACTGGCTCCCAGTATGGGCCCAGGGACCTGAGAAAGGCTCAGATCCCAGATGGCAGAAGACAAGGATGAGGACCTTACTCCAAGCTGAGTCACACTCTGAAGGAATAATCATCTTGAGGCTACTTCTGCCTAAAGAGGGAACCACAGGGCTGGTATGGGGCAGTGAGTATGGGGCAGTAGGTATGGGCAGGGGTTGCACAGCCAGATGAGGGCGAGGGTACCACTGCCTTGGAGGCAGCTAGATGCTCAGGGCCAGGGGAATAGCATAGACTTTCAAGAACAGGAGACAAGTTCTCCATCCCAAGTTGTGGGAGGGGGTGGATCAAAGAAAAGGTGTTTAGTCACACTTGAGACAACATGCACACCCCTGACAGTGCTGCCTGGGCTTTTTCAGGGGCCGTGTTCCTCAAAATGCCATCTCTGGGACACTGAAAAATGAGAACGAGTATCCAAACCCAGAAGACTTGTAGTCCCCAAGCTTAGCATTAACCATGTACAGCAGCCAGCTGAGGGCGCTGGCCCCAGCCAAGCTGAGGCCAAGCTGCAGACCTACCGGTCAAACTTCACAGCCATCTTAATGATACCAGAGGTGTCTTCAGCTGGTTCCCCCGCTGCCTCTGGGGTCCTGGCTAAGAACTCAGCCCGCCGGGCATTCAGCTCTTGTGTCATCTCCTCGTAAAAGGCACCAAGGCCAAAGGCCTCACTGTGGAGGGATGAGCAACGCAGTGTAAGTCCTTTAGTGGAATCAACATCTAGGAAACTACTGCAGGAGCCCAGGGCCTTGCCATTGAGAAATGCCCCTCCTCCCCACCGCCGCCCCACATATATATGAAAACACCACTGAGATCTAGCCATCAGGGGGTGCCTCCTGCCTACCCCTGGGATCAGCCTGGACTGGCAGAGAGTGAATGTGAGCCTCTGGGGGTGGACACTGGAAGACAAGCTGGGGTGGGTGGAAAAGGCTGTAAAGGTCACCTCTACCACCTAAGCCCAGACTCTCTTCCAAAGAAGAAAACACATGCAAGTGACCCTAGCCAACAGTGAGTGAACTGACCTACACTGAACAAGCTCCTGGCTTATGCACAGCCTCATCCTCATGTGGACCCAAGGGAGAAAGAGACAGAGGCCACGACCACTAAGTGGTTCCCCACTTCCTGCCCCAGCCACAAGCAGTTAGGCCTAGACTAAACTGAGGTACCATCAAGAGCTACAAAATTATACTCTTTCTCTTGAGCTCATTAGACACCTGAGTCAACCCTGGTTAAGCTATGTGGGATAGGGACTGAACCAACACCACAAGCACAGAGTTGGGAAGAGTCTTCTGGCAACTCTTTTCCCTGCTAGGAAGCATCTTGAGGACCAGAGGGTATTTGTGAGGATGGGTCCCTGGGCACAAGCATGGTTTAGAAAAGTTTCTTTGATGGGGCACGTGGGTGGCTCAGTCAGTTAAGTGTCCGACTTTCAGCTCAGGTCATGATCTCCCACTTCATGGGTTCAAGCCACACATCGGGCTCCGTGCTGACAGCTTGAAGCCTGGAGCCTGCTTCAGATTCTGTGTCTCCCTCTCTCTCTGCTCCTCCCCTGCTCATGCTCTGTCTCTCTTTCTCAAAAATAATAAACATTAAAAAAAAATTTTTTAATTAAAAAAGAAAAGTTTCTTTGAGGAAGGAGGAAGCAGACAGCCAACATGAGGAGGAGAGAGCATTCAGGCAGAAGACCCAGTTTGAGTACAGGTGTGGGCCTGGGGAAATAGGTAAATATGGAGCCAAAGGAACAGGTACTAGGCCACGTTGTGAGGGGCCCCAAAGGTCAACCACCTGAACTGGAGCTATATCAAATGTAGAGGACCATGGGGTAGCCTCCCAGACTTCCTCCCCAGGAATTCCCAAGCCCAGTCCCCAGATTCCTCCATCCTACTGGCACTCTAGTTCCCAAAATTCTGCTGTGAGATCAGTCCAGAGATGGAAATTTCCAAAGGTTTCTTAAGTATCCTATTCTGTGAGGCAAAACTGCATCACCACCCCACTCCAGTACATCCACCTCCAGAAGCTGTATCCCTGGTCCCCTGATAGTCAACCAGGGCTCATAGTCAAGTCTGGGCAACGTCTGCAAGTAATTATGGACAGCCATTGCCTCTCTCACCAAATTTCCTGGGAAGACTGGGCGGCATGGAGCAACCTTCCCTGGGGCGACTCCAACTGTTCTCGTAGCATCTGGCACAAGCAATACTTGGTGTTGGTGTAGTGGTTTTCATACTGCACAGCCTGAGGGAAGAACCAACATGAGCCTACTTGCTGCCCAGGATCTGAGGCCTGAGCTATGGCAGGGAAAGGGCCTCCAAGAGGGCATCAGAGGTATGCTTGCAGATGAGGTAGTGTGACCTCATAAGAAAAGCCACCTCCATCCTGGCCATTTACTCCTCCTGTTAGTGGCACAACGCTCAAGAGTCATAGCTGAGGGTCAGGAGCATATTCTACTGAACAGCCTGACAGAAGTCCAGATGTGTGGGGACCCCTTCCTGCTTCAGCCACCATAGGCTACCACAGAGGACCTGCTGCCATTCCAGGGCAGGGAGGAGGAGCAAGTCAAAATCTGGTGCGACAGGAACAGCACCAGGACAGGGGTGAGATTCTTCTATCTCTAAACACAGTGTAGAACAGCCTGTCTCCAGTCTACGGCCATACCACCCTGAACGCGCCCGATCTCGTCTGATCTCGGAAGCTAAGCAGGGTCGGGCCCGGTTAGTACTTGGATGGGAGAACAGCCTGCCTCCAATCTCCCCCGCCATGGGTAAGGCACAGCACAATGTGCCAGTCATGTTCACATGTTACTTGTCACTTCACTGAGCTTCACAAGCATGAGGTGCAGTTGTTACCCCTACTCCACAGACTGAGAAATGCAGCCTCGGGAAGCAAGCTGACTGCACAGGGATACCCAGTAGAAGCCTGCCTGGCTGGGCAGACAGAAAAGCAGTGAGTGGAGGGTGCCCCAGCCTCTAGAACACCCTCCCACCCTTCGCCCCCTACACTCTTCTAATCTCTCCACCTAGGCCTGTATCTTCAGTAACCGGGAAGGTACCGTGACATGCTGAGGACAAAGCAGAGATACGTTGGTAAAGCCCCAGCCGGTGGCAAGGCCTTGATCCAGCTTGTCAGAAGGCACCTGACTAGACCAGCAGCAGCCCTGCCTAAGCTTGAAAGCCACTCCCCTCCTTCAGGACTACAGCTCTTGAGAAGCTGCCAAAGGATGGACTGAGCAAGAATGACAACATCACCTTTTACCCAGTGAGCAAGCTCAGCACAGCTGAATGTATCTTCTCTGCTACAGACTTGCTACTCAGGTGGAAGAGCTAGATAGGCAACCTAGGCTAAGGCAAGGTCTCTAGCTGACTCAGGATACTGGATGGCCTGGTGGTCACAAACCTGCCCAACAGGACACCTGGAACCCAGGAGATGAGGGCTGTAGTATCAAGCTGGGGAGGCTCTAGGGACAGAAACTGCCCATCTTTGGGCAGTTAGAAGCCTCAGGGCCTCCTACCATACCCAGCTTGCACAGTCCCAGGGATACCCACATGCCATGGCAGCCACAGAGCCAAAGGCATGGCCATGGCCTGAAGGGGGCATGGGCAGTCTGAGGATCTGAGAAGCTCCTGACCCTCCTAGGAGGGTGCAACTCCCAGTATCGAAGAGGATGAGGGCTAGACTCTCTGCTCAGGCCCAGTGCACTGATGAATTAGAAGTCCACCGACTGTCTCTCTGCCTGCAGACATGTACAGCTAATCACAGAGACTCACACAATTCCAGGATTGTACCAAAGGGACAGGGCAGGTGAACTGGTCAAAAAATTCCTTTAGAGGGATGGGGCACCTGGATGGCTCAGTCGGTTGAGCATCTGACTTAGGCTCAGGTCATGATCTTTTGGTTCATGAGTTCAAAGCCCACGTTGGTCTCTTCTGTGCTGACAGCTCAGGGCCTGGAGTCTGCTTTGGATTCTGTGTCTCCCTCTCTCTCTGCCCTTCCCCTGCTCATGCTCTCTCTCTCAAAAGTAAAAAAAAAAAAAAATTAAAAAGAATTTTTTAAAATTCCTTTAGAGGGAAATGTTTCTGGCACTACAATCAAGCTCTCAGTGAGAGGAAAAAGCTAGTCCCTAAGGAGAGGGTTAAAGTTAGGCTATTCCCTAAGTCAGAGGTTAAAGCGTTCTGGGAATGAGCAAGAGAAGAGTTTTATTTTATTTCAAATAAGTCAACTCTACACCCAGTGTGGGGCTTGAACTCACGACCTCAAGATCACCAGCCACATGCTCCACCAACTGAGCCAGCCAGGCACCCCAGCAAGAGAATAGTTTTAGAAGTGATTCTGACGCATGACAAGATGCAAAGTCTCTGTACAGATAATCTATCCTCAACAATAGTTACAATGGCTTTTCTTAGCTGTAGCTGTTCAGGCACCAACCACTGGCATGAGTGTCTTCAGTGACACAGATCCCATTGTCGTTGTGCATGCGTGTATATGTGTGTGGAGGATGTGAGAGAGAAAGATTCAAATGTTTGGGGCCTTAGCAGCATCCTGAATCCCAGGGTCCTTGATAGGACCTCATTGCCTAGAAAGCTTTAGAAGGAGGTGATGGTAGGGGTTGCCCCAGCATCCTCTCTTCACATTGAAACCAAGGAGACCAATTGCTACATTATAAGAACTACAAAGAGAAGGAGAGGAACAACAATGGCTGCTGGGGGCTGGGGCTCACCCAAGGCACCTTCTGCAGGAATGTGGCAGACAGTGAAAAATGTTTCTTTTGAAAAAGTGCATAGACGTACATATCGGATATACTTCTGCATGACCTCCTCCAGGGGTCGCAGACCCTCCTTGAGGAAGATGGATGGGTTCCACATGGCGGCTCGGGCCACCATCACTGAAGAGGCTGCTGTGGCTTGTCGAAAGTCCTCTATGTCCAAATATTCTTGGATGTGGTCATGAGATCCTCCGCTGAAAGGCAACAGGGGAGTGAGGGGTATCCTCATACTAGCATCTTCAGAAAAAAGCAACTCCCAGATCTGCTACTCATTAACCATGTGGCTTTGACCAAATCCTTCAGCTGTGAGTACTTTGGGAGACTGGAGGTTAGAACACACACCCCACTATGGGGTCAGAAACACCAAGTGAGATAACACAGTGAAACAGCCTGAACCAGGCCTGGCACTTAACAGGTGTCTCAGAGATTTTACCTTCCTTCCCTCCTCCTCATCCTAAACAGTGGCTAAAGCCAGCCCAAATCTGAAGACATAGGTCTGTTAAGTGGATGCTGGGATCACAGAAAGATCCCCAGCCTAGAGCACCTATATACCTACTAACAGGTGGGTCAAAAACCACAGACACAGTGGTGATCATGAGAGGAAGGAAGGAGGCCCAGTTTGGTTGCAATTTCCCTTCCTGCCACCCCGAGGCCCCAAGGGCCCCCTTGGAAACTGCTCCATTTGCATCTGTTCCATTGGGGGCCAGGTGGCAGCCTCAATCCAGGCACAGCCTTATATGTATGGTGGGGAAGACCCTCAGGTGGCAGCAGCAGCAACAGGATCCAGGGTCTTGAGTACCCTACCCTCTCCACGCCAGCCCTAAAACTCCTGGCCTGGGAACAACCAAGCCTGGCTACCACCCCCAACCTTAACTCGCTCCCTCCTTCCCACCAGGCAGGCATGCCCTTTGTCAGGACTTCGGGGCTTTAGAATTTCTGTTCCCATCTTGCCATCGGGCTCTATGCCATCCTAAGGTGCAAGGCTGCACTGGACTGGCCCACATGGCCAGTGCCCCAATGACAACTGGACACTGTCTTACTGCTAAGCCTCTGGGCTGGTCACTGGTACCTCAGAACTGTCAGTCTCATTCCCTGGTCCTATGGCTGCCCAGAATGCTTGTCTGGGCTTTGGACTGTGACCTGCCTTATGCCCCCTGAGCCATACTTCTGTATGCTCTGGCTTGGGACTACTCACCCTACACCCTGCACACCTAACTCTGGGTGTGACATCACTTTTGCCTTGGGTCTGCTTCAGCGGCTGCTTTCTTGCTCTCCCTGTCTCCTGAACACTCCTACCCTCAACCCATCTATCAAAATGCCCTGGGACCCTGCCTACTGCACACCTACATCGGCCACTCACCAGAAGCTAGTGGACACAATAGGTACTTTTCAGCTTCATGTCCAACCTCATTTTTTTGTACTACCCTTTTTTCCTTTTCCCTTAGGTCATTTTTTAATGCTAGCTCATTCCATTTTTTGTATGCCAGCTCAAATTTCTCTGAGTGAGGTGGAGCACAAAAAAGTAAACGATGAGGAAGAGAGGCTTACTTGGCTATGACAGGAATGGAGAGGGTTTCAGCAATGGCTCTGATGGCTTCACAGCTTACAGGGTGCTGAGGTCTTTCTTCCCGCTTTCTTGGAGATAAAGAAAAAAGGATGGGCTGAGGGCTGAGGCCATATCACAGTTCAAACTAAGGTTTACCTTAGCCAAACCCTACCATCCTCCCTACTGAACCTCAGGAAGGCCATGTGGCCATGAAGGACAGGGTTCTGGGCTGCAGAGGATGGCTCTCCATGACCTCTGTTGTAAGGGGCAGGAGCAGCAGAAGTCCCTGCTGAGAAGGCAAGTCCAGCTCTTGCAGGCCTGCAGGTGAGGTGTGGCTGCACAGGGCTGGTGTGGGTGGCCTGGCTCCCAAGGTCACACTGCCTTTCCTTGGCTTCCCTTCACCTGTGCCAGAGATGAGGGACAGTGCTATAAGAATGCTGCCCCTACTGTCCCGGTGCTGCCCTCCCCACGAGACTGGGAACAGCTGCTGCCCTCAGACTGGCCACTCCCACACAGCTGCCTATGCTGAGGCTGAGTTGGGCAGCTGATCCTGGGGGAGAGGCACCTGGCACAGGGCAGACCCAGCAGGCAGGACAGGCCACAGATCATGGCTGTCACAACAAGCCCCGGAGAGGTAGGACCACAACCTAAGCCCTCTCCTTCCAAGGTCAACTGCAAGAGGTTCTTGTGTATGAGTGAATGAGTCTTAGAGATGCTGAAGTGAAGCCTGATCTAAGCTATGCTCAGGAACAAGCAAGAGAGATGGTCAACCAGACAGCCCTTGCTCAGGTCTTGTCTGCGTGCATCTCCTCTGGTATGCTCCTCAACAAAAGGGTCAGGAGGCTCAACAAAAGCCTCAGAAGGCCCTGTCAACCCATCCTCACCTCTACCTCCCCACACCCCAGCAGCCCATTTCAGCCCAGAACCCATCCTCAACAGCTTTGATGGCCAGAAAGCCCCTCTTTAAACTCACCCGAATCTGTCTTCCTGGTGTTTCCAACTACTGGTAAAAAGGAATAGCTGTATTTATTCAGAGAACACCATATGCCAGGCACTGTGCCAAGGCTATATACTCACAACCTCATAAAAGCCTCAAGACAACCTTATAAAGCAGAAATTATCTTAATTTCCAAATGAAAAGTGTGGTACTCAGAGAGGTTAAGTGATTTATCCAAGGATATACAGCCAACAAGCAGCAGAAATGGGAGCCCAAACCAGGCAGTCTGAGCCTAGAGCCTGCTGCCACAGGGAGGAGCTTGCATGTACACGTGTGTAGCCTTTCCCCGCCCCCTACTGGCTTCAGCCCACACAGCTCTCCTTTTCTCTTACACATGTTGGGAGTTAACATTTTCTCTGAAAATGCTGTCATAGACACATCCAGCAAAAAGTGGGCTGTTCCTATAAGAACCCTGAACCCAAAAGGAACATCACTCAGAGAAGAGAGGTCACTCTGAACAAAGTCTGTTGACCTGGGATTCTGTACAAAACTACATCATAGGGGTGCCTGGGTGGCTCAGCCAGTTAAGTGTCCAACTCTTGATCTCACCTCAGGTCATGATCTCACGGTTCATCAGGCTCTGCATTGACGGCACAGAGCCTGCTTGGGATTCTTTCTCTCCCTCTCTCTGCCCCTCTCTCACTCGCATTCTTTTGTGTGCTCTCCCTGACTCAAAATAAGTAAACTTTACCCCCCAAAAAAAAATGTACATCATGGACACACGGAACAAGTCTAACTGGGAAACCAAAAGTAGCCTTCAGCAACACCTCAGCTCCCAGAAGACAGCATATTAGCTACAGATACAAGAGCTGTTTAAAGTAGTCACTGTGACAGCTGGCAGTCCAAGAAGGGCAGACAAAAGAGACAATGCCATTAAAAGCAGAGCCATCTGCATGGGATCATTTGGGGGAGAAGCTATTGCTCAATGTATTGGAAAGCAAATGAGATTCAGAGTCAGAGTTCTAATTCCACCACTTCCTGGCTGCACAGTACAACTGTGAACCTATCACTCAATCTCTACCATTTATACATCCTGAGGGTAGGGGCGTTTCCCCTTCCTCTTGTGTCTTTAAACTCAATCTTCCTCTCCTTCTCTGTCTCTAAACTCAGTGTAGCGTCTACCACCAGTAGGTGTTCAGTGAATGAAACAAAGAAAAATGCCCACCCATGAAGGGTTTAGCTGCCCTCAAGACTCCAAGGATGTCAAAGAGCTAGGCAGAGGCAGGCTGCATATGTAGAAGAAAAGTTGGCTGTCACCTAGGGTCTGACAAAGGATTGTTACGATGGTTGAGGACTGCAAGTCAGTCACTAGATAGGGAACCACTCACCTCCCATGAACTGCAACGGCAGCAATGCCAGTCCTTTCTATCCGCTTCACAAGGCTCAGGGTATCTTCCAGCTGGGGAAGAGGACAGTCCAGGGTGGTTAGAGAAGCTACCCAGCGAATAGCTGCCAGCTCCAAAAGTGAGCTCAGCCCCACTCCCTCCTCCAACCTAAGTCAACTGTCCTCGAGAACCATTCACCTCCTCCCAAAAAAACATCCTTTGAAAAAATGGACCTTGAAATGTAACACATCATCCTTACCGAGGGCAGGATGCGAATCTTGCAGGTCACAGGTCTGCGAGTCCCTTTAACAAGAGTGCTGAGGATCTGCAGAGAGGAAAACACAAACACTTCTGGAAAAACCACCACAACCGCTCATACTAATTAACTCTGTTACAGACCTGTGCATTAGGCACATACAGTGATGTATGTCAATTTCTTGGTAAAACTAGAAAATCTTTTCAATTTTTAAAAAAGTTTCAGCTTGGGGCGCCTGGGTGGCTCAGTCGGTTAGGCGGCCGACTTCGGCTCAGGTCATGATCTCACAGTCCATGAGTTCGAGCCCCGCGTCAGGCTCTGTGCTGACAGCTCAGAGCCTGGAGCCTGTTTCGGATTCTGTGTCTCCCTCTCTCTGACCCTCCCCCGTTCATGCTCTGTCTCTCTCTGTCTCAAAAATAAATAAACGTTATAAAAAAAATTTTTTTTAATAAAAATAAAAAAGTCTCAGCTTAACATACTCCCTCCTCCAAAGGATTCTGAGGCCTAGTCCTGGTTGAGAACACACGGCTGACAGCTTCATTCCTGCGTGAAAGCAATGTTCCCTGAGTGCTGTTCCAGGATCTACTGAGTGAGAGAGCAAGGAAGGTTTTACAGGTCCTGGGCCCTGTCCTCATATGCCTCTCTTTAGGTGAGTCAGATATACAGAAGTGAAATGGCAAAGGAAAAAACAACATATTCAACACATTATAAAGTGTTAATTTGCACAGTAATTGCAAAGGACTTCAAAGAAAGATCAAGAAGTTATACAGGAAAGTGTCAGAGAAGTGTCAAGGCCAGGTCACGTATGAATCAGAGATCAAGAGACATGCAGATGACAGTGAATGTCTGTGGCATTGCTATCTTCTTCCCTTATCGAAAATTTCAGGCCAGGGGTGCCAGGCTGTCTCAGTCATACAGCATCCAACTCTTGATCTCGGGGACATGAGTTTGAGCCCCACGTTGGATGTAGAGATTACTTCAAAATAATAATTTTTTAAAAACTTTTTTTTTTTTTAATTTCAGTCTAGACAAGCTGGAGGGAAGGTGATCCCAAGAGCTCTCTTCTAAGAACTGACTGCCAGAAGAGCAGAGAGGACACCCACGCAGCTGGTGCCAGTCTTGGTTCTAGACAAGTGGGGGCAGCAGAGAGCGAGACTGAAAGAACCAGTCAAGGAGGCCTTTCAGGGACATTCTCTGGCAAACCGCTCCAGAAGACATGAGACGAAGAGGCTGGGCTGACAAGGCACGTTAACAGATCACAGGCAAGACAGGGCCTGTTGGCCCAAGGACCAATGCCAAAGACTGGCAGGAAGGAACAGTCCCCAGATGCTGCCCCAGGAGGCATACTGGACCTGTGGTCCTAGGGTCACTCTGGCAGGCCTTAAGGGGGCAGCTACCCTTTAAGGCAGTGGGGGTGGGGAACTGCCAGATCCACTGAGATACACAATAAAAAAATTCTCCCTTGAGTCCTATCCCTCATGCTAACCATAGCACATCTGGAAGGTTCCTTTGCTATTGTGGACTTAGAATCCCATAATGTTTGGGGTGCCTGGGTGGCTCAGTCAGTTGAGTGTCTGACTATTGATTTCGGCTCAGGCCATGATCCCATGGTTGTGGGACTGAGCCCTGCTTCAGGCTCTGCGCTGAGTGTGGAACCTGCTTGGAATTCTCTCTCCCTCTCCCTCTGCCCCTCCCCTACCCATGTGTGTGTGTGCTTTCTCTCTCTCTAAAATAAATACAATGAAAATTTTTTTTTTAAAAAATACAAGAACCCCCTGATATTTGGTGACTGAAGCAACATGAGCTGGTTTGATCCAGTTCTCTGTTTTGCAGAACTTCCTTTGCTGTATTTCATCCAAGTAGCTCTAAGCACTTTCTTTGGTACTTCTGTTCATTTCATGTGCTTGTTCAGAATCAGGAAGGAAATTAGTAATCAAAATGCCCAGCCACCTGCAAAGGTCACATTAAGGGGAACGGGTGACGAGAATCTGTCTTCTGGCTAGGCCCTAGCATGAAACACCCCCTAGACTCAACTCTCCCAGATCCAAGTCACACCACCTGTCTCTGTACTATGAAAATCAGTGAGGGAGAAGGACCTGAGATAGGCTCATAACAGATAACACAACACATCTACCCACAGGCAGGCTCAACTCATCAGATCCACCAGCTGACTCAAGAAAAGCAGACTCTTAGCTCCCCTGGTTGTCGGGGAATGAGTGGAAAGGAGGATGGAGAGCATAGGCTTAGGTATCACTGAGAACTGAGTTCAAGTTCTGGCCCTGCCAGTTGTTAGCCTTGGCCCAAGTGCAACATGCACAGAGGGATGCCCTGGGCAGCCACGGGGGTCAGATCTTGGAGTCCAGGGGTTAGAGAAAGGATATTACTAACTAAGAGTCTAAAACTAAGGTCCTTGGGGCACCTGGGTGGCTCAGTCAGTTAATTGTCCGACTTCAGCTCAGGCCATGATCTCGTGGTTTGTGAGTTAGAGCCCCGCATCGGGCTCTGCGCTGACGGCTCAGAGCCTGGAGCCTGCTTTGGATTCTGTGTCTCCCCTTCTCTCTGCTTCTCCCATGCTCATGCTCTGTCTCTCTCTGTCTCTTGATAATAAATAAATGTTTAAAAACTTTTTTTATTAAACTAAGGGTCTTAACCTAGGAAAGATGTATCAGTGTTACCAAGAAAGATTTTTCAAAAGACTAATTAATACTTCCTCCCTGCCCCTATCTACCCCACGCCTATACAGAATTCTCAACAGATAGAACACCAAAAAGAGAAGAAGCAGAATGAACTGAGCAGTTTAACTCTTCTGCCTCATGTGTGAGACATGTCTTATCCAAAGAGGGGCAGTGGAGAAGACAGAGCCAACAGCCTAGGTAGGAGAAGCCAGAAAACTGGAGAATAATAAAGATGTCTGAGTGCATGTGTTGTGAAGCAACACCACCCCATACCGGGCCCTCTTCCCCAAGGCAGGGTGATGAATTTGACATCCACAGTTGTCCACATCCACTCCATCCTGCACAGAGGGGTCTGACTAGAGGTTCCTAAGTACAGATGTCAACTGACTCGTAGCTAGACACTTCTAAACTACACCCAGGCACCTCTAAACTGAGATGCCATCAAGAGGGAGCACTGATATTGGCATAGGAGTCACAAGACCATGGCTCTAGACACTGCTCTGCCTGCTACTTACTTGCTATATAATCTTGGGCAAACTACTTTTATCTCTCTGTGCTTTAGTTTTATTATTGTTGATCAAATAGAGATGACAAATGCCTGCCCTATTTACTTCAAGGGGTTTGAAGAACAAATGGAATAAATGCTAGAATATATTTTGAAAAGGAAATTACCCTACAAACCGCAGGGATATACTATAGGTACTATATACATATATAGGCACGTTATATATATTACTATAGTACATAATATATATATTACATGTTATGTTATTTATATATAAGTATTATATATTATTATTATACATACAGTGTGCATATATATGTGTGTGTGTGTGTGTGTGTGTACCTATCTTCACGTGGAGAAAATGAAAAGGCACCAAGACCCTCAACACACTGGTCTTCCAATATCCCAAAGACAGTGGGGCTGGAGGAATATATATGGTTGAGCTGCTGACACAGCAGGCAGCACAAATAATGGCAGCTTTTATTGGTGGTGCCCTATCCCAAGTTACTCTAGCCTATGAGAGGCACTAGAAGGTTTAAAGCGCAGACAGGGAAGCCGGAATGGAGGATGAAAACAAAGGAACTAAGAGGAGCAACAAGGAGAGAACTGGTAGACTGACAAAGAAGTAAAAGGTGCATATGGCTTGGTAGAAAATGTCACCCCTACAGGCCCTGGCAGCTCACAACACGGTGACAAACGCCAACCTGGCTGCAGGGCCTCATAAACCTGACTTTTGGAATCACCAAGGGAAGGGGAGCAGAGGCGACCAAGCTCAACTTGCCTCACATGACACTGGCCAGGCTGCTCTCAAAGGCTGGTGGTGGACTCTGCCAGTGTGAAGGGGACCCACTGTTGCTCTCAGCAAGCCCGCTGGGAGAGGCCAACCCCCACCACCACTGGCACAGAGTCTGTCCATAATCTACAGATAGCCTGGCCTATGCTCACATGATCTTCTCAGAAGGTAGATAGGCAATACAGAGGAGCCTCTAAATGACTCCTTAAGCCCCTCGGCTCTCAGTTGACATGTCTCCAAGCCCCGGACTTTGGAGGAACTCCAAGGCTGCTATTGGTTCGTTCAGGGGTTCCCAAACCTGACTGTATGTCACAATCACTGGGAAGCCTTTCAAAAATTTTCCGGACTCCAGGGGTGCCTACCTGGCTCAGTCACTAGAGCATAGGACTCTTGATCTTAGGGTCGTAAGTTTAAGCTCCACACTGGGCACAGAGCTTACTTAAAGAAAAAATTTTTCAGACTCCAGGTGGAGTAACTGATAAACTGAGTCATTAAATCTTGGGGGAGGAGGGGTGCCTGGGTGGCTCAGTTGGTTAAGCGTCCGACTTTGATTTCGGCTCAGGCCATGATCTCATGGTTCATGAGTTCGAGTCCCACATCGGGCTCTCTGCTGGCAGTGCAGAGTCCACTTTGGATCCTCTGTCCTCCTCTCTCTCTGCCCCTCCCCTGCTCACGTGCACATACTCTCTCTCCGCCTCAAAAATAAACATTAAAAAAAAATCTTGTTGGAGGAGATGAGGGTGGGTGCATGTTCAGACAACTCTAGTTCACAAGCAAGTTTAAGGACCTCTATTTTCACTCCTGCAGGACTTACCTTCTCAATCTTGTCAGGGTCTGACAGCAGAGCAGCTCCCATTCCCCCCTAAGAAAAAGCACACAGAGGGTCTTCTTACACTTGGAGAAGGGTGGTCCCTCCCCATGGTATGGCAACGTGGTGTGGCAACCTGGCACTCACAGCTAAGAGACCAAGCAAGGTTCACTGGCAATTAGCACTTCCCCTCAGCAAGAAGGAAAGCAGCAGCAACTAGGCTCACAATGCCAGGGATCAGAGTTTGATGAACTCTAAAAGTCATCACTCTGATCCTCTTAGCAAAATCCACAGATCTATCCAGAAGTGGGTTCTACAAAAATTGTTTTTCAGGAGTGCCCATTCCCTACTCAGGATCTCAGTGTCTCAATTAGCTAAACCCCACAATCTGCCAAGCCCTTTAAAAAGCAATGAAGCATTCTCCCTTCGAAATGAGATCCAATGTACCTTCCTCCTATCCTACCAACACTTGCTTTGGTATCACCACCGCCAGCAAAGCCACTTAGAGGAATATAACCTGCAAATCTTGTCCAGGCTCTTCTTCCCTGCCAGCAACAATGCTCCAGACCAGCATCAAACTCTAGCAAAAGCCCCAGCTAATGGAAACCAACAACCTGAGGAGCTACTTAAATCCTGACATTAACAACACCAGTTGAGTTTTGATGGTGAGATTATTAGTGATTGGTGTTTTTTGTTTTGGGGGTTTTTTTTTGTACTTTTCTATATCACACAAGTTCTGGACAATGGTATGAATTACTTTAATAATCAGGAAACGGGAGGATCTCTACAATGGTAAAGGGAAAAAAACAAACCCAATAAATAAATCGCTTGTCAGTATATAGACTGCATGCCAATGAATGCTCATAGGATGGGCTCAGAAGTTTTAAGTTCAGTTATTACAGTGTAATTTCCTATTTAAGGATGACAGATTAGAATCAGAGAACTCTGAACCACCACAGACTCAGCCAGCCTGAGCTTGCATTTCAGAGGAAAATGGGAAAGGCAGAGGAGCTACCAGCCCTGGCCTACCTTGTTACAGATACAACCTTAGAGGCCTTAAGGAAAGCCCTGGCCACTCACCCCAACTCCGTGTGTCCTCACGCATGATCCGGCCCTTCCTTGGGTAATCACAGAATCTAAAATCCAGTCTTACTGGCCCTTCCACAACATTGGTTTTCTCAATTAGTATTTCCTTCCTTCCTTCCTTTCTTTTTAACTTATTTGCTTTTTTGAATAGGTGACACATTAAAAATTTTCAAGGTTCAAAAGGGAAAAAGTAAGAACTCTCCTTCCCTGAGGAATGGAAAACTTTTCATATTATGTTTTCTATAAGGCTTCAATTTTTGAACCACGAGAAGAGAGTGGCTATTCAGGTGGCATGTACTGGTATAGCACACTGGTAGACATCTGTTCTGACCGGTCAGGGCCAGTGCTGTACCAGTTGTTAGTTATTTTGGGAAGCACCCCTATAATGGGAATTTATTCCCTATGCCAAACCAAAGAAAAACTTCGTTTCCTTCCCCAGGGAAAGGCAGTGTTACTAGTTTCTTGTGTGTCTTTCCAAATACATTCTATGAAGAGAAATGTAAATATATACATAAATATTCATTCCCCATTCCTCATATATAAATGGTGGTATACCATATCTAATTTGGCTCCTTGCTTTTTCATTCCACAATGTGTCAAGGAGATTATGACACTAATTTAAACTCTGCTCCTTACATAACTCAGAAGCACAAAGGAGTAATTAGAAGACAGCAAAATATGGTCCCAAGTTTTCAACTCCTCATAGACAATTTCAAACCTCCATAATCCCTTGAAATAGCTGTCGACAAGCCCTGTGGTTTTCAAGCATCCAAAGATCCTTTCCCTCAAGTAGCCTTCTGCCTCCTGGCCTAAAGCCAAAGCCCCAAGCCACATAACTCCTGGGAGCAGAGTGGCTGACTCTGGGCAGTGGATCCAGGGGGACATCTGCTATGTCTACACTGCAGATCCTGACCATGAACCCTGTGATAAGATTCCCAGCGGCAGCCCTGCAGTCAGTCCCAAGCTGTTCTTGTTTTCTGCCCCACACATGCTTTTCTTCCAGCAGTCCCAATCACACTGAAGACCAACTGTACTCCTGGCTACGTCTTTCCTCCCTCTCCCGCAACCACTCACCCCACCTCCCCACACCCGGTCTGATCATTTGCCACCCAACTCCTATCAAATTCTACTCCAGTTTCACTTCTCCTCTCCCCATCCCTGGTCTCCCCTATGAACCCAGGACGTTCATCTCCTAAATCTGTGTTTCTAAGTATTTCTACACAGAATATATTTGGAAAGAGATAAGAAAATAGTAACACTGGTTTCCCCTAGGGAAGGAAACTAAGTTTCTGATCAAAAAGGTGTTCTCTGTTCAAAAAGGTGAGAAATATCAAAAGTCCAAGTTCAGCTAATCTGGTCCTAACCAAAATTTACAATCCTGTGCTCCTCTGCTTTCTCTTTGTCTTCCACTACCCAACTCTCAAGTCAAATCAAGGTTCTCTGCCTCTACCTCATGTTGGCCTCCAGGCCCCTGCCTCTGCCACTCCCTCTGCCTGTAGGGTCCCAAATCTCCTCATCAAGGACCACATTTCCCTATATGATACTGAGTTTAAGGGCTGCCTTTCCACTCCTTTCTGTGAGCTACCCTAGCACTGTTCTGACCTTCTGATATGACAATGGGGACACATGTATTGCATGCTCTATTTTTTTAAATATATGTCTCAGTTTTATTCATGAAACAACAAAGTCCTGTTCACATTTTTTCTTTTAACATTCACATCATTAATTACTCACGCATAAGTGCTCTGTGTGTGTTTATCTATGTGTGTATGTGTATGTGTGTGTATATATATAAAATTTTTCCTGAACTATTTCCAGGTAAGTTACATTACATGATAGCCCTTCACATTGAAATATTTCAATGTGTATTTTCTAAGAATAGAGATATTCTTGGGATGCCTCATTGGTTCAGTCAGTGGAGCATGCAACTCTTGATCTAAGGGTTATGAGTTTGAGCCCCACATTGGGTATAAAGATTACTTAAAAATAAAATCTTAAAAAAAAAAAAAAGAATAGAGATATTCTTACAAAACCATAGAAGAGTTATCAATTTGATAAATTTACACTGATACAGTATTTCTAGCTAATCTAGTATGGCCCATATTCCAATTTTGCCAGTTGATCTAATAATATCCTTTTGAGCATTTTTCCCATCTACTACAGGATCTAGGCCAGAGTCAGGTACCATACTTAGCTGTAATGTCTTGTTAGTTGCCTTTACCCTGTACCTTGTACTTGTAAGGCATATAAACAAATCAGTTTACCTTGGTGGAATACTCTTTTGGGCAGCCCATGTTGACATCAATCCCAGCCACATCATTTTCCCTGGAAAAACATGAAATAGTAAAGGTAATAAATATTCAACTTAAGGAGAGAAGTTAGAGTCAAAGGCACAGGTCTGTGTTCATGAACCTCTTGCTGTGTGCCTCAGTAACAGAAGGTGAAAAAACTGGTCTCTGAAATGTACAACTGCCTTCCCTGAGCAGAGCTCAAGAGGAAGAGCATTTTGTGCTCAAACATCTACAAAGGGCTAGTTGTAGAGGACTTTGCTACTTGGGAATTTTACCAGATAATCCAAATACTGAGTGACAGCCACACTGAACCCAGTCCCCAGAGTTCCACTTCTGACTGGGGTAGTGAAAGCTATTTGTCAATGCAAAGAAGTGACATGAGTATAAGAGCCCCTTCCCAGAGCACTGGTTCTAGTAGAAGTTACAGGACTGTCTTTTGTTTGCTGGGCTGCACAGATGGCTTACTCCAAACAATTTTCCGATGTGGAAGGACCCTTAGCTCATCTTCCATTATGTATACAGTTAACAGTCTGTAGCTACTGCCTGTATTCCTTCTCACCATTATTGTAATTAATAACAACAGCTAACAGGGCATCTGGGTGGCTCAGTTGGTTAAGTGTCTGACTCTTGTTGATCTTGGCTCAGGTCATGATTTCACAGTTCATGAGATCGACCCCTGCGTCAGGCTCTGTGCTGACAATGCAGAGCCTGCTTGAGATATTCTCTCTCTCTCTCTCTCTCTCTCTCTCTCTCTCTACCTCTCCCCAGTTCACTCTCTCTCTCTCTCTCTCTCTCTCAAAATAAATAAACATGAAAAAATTTTTAAAAATAATAATAGCTAATACTAAATGCTATGTGCCACTTACTGCAAAGACATCTATATGCATTATTTAATTTACCCTCCCCTATAATGTTAGAGGTAGGTAGTACAACAGGTCTCTTTTTTTTTCTAAGATTTTACATTTTATTTCTTTATTTATTTAATGTTTTTGAGAGGGGGGGGGGAGAGGCAGAGAGAGAGAGGGAGACAGAATCCGAAGCAGGCTTCAGGCTCTGAGCTATCAGCAGAGTCTGATGCAGGGCTCAAACCCATGAACTGCGAGATCGTGAACTGAGCCGAAGTCGGACACTTAACCGACTGAACCACCCAGGCGTCCCTATAGGTCTCATTTCAAAGATAAGGAAACTAAGTTCTCAGTATGGTTAAGTAACTTATCTACGGTCACTCAGCAAGCAGCAACCCAGAATTCCAACCCAGGTCTGTCTGACTCCAAAGCCTATCTCCTTAACCACAGTACACTCCCGCCTTCATTAATTTAGGCAGCAATGAGCCTTACCTACATTACATGAGACTTAAAACCTTAGGGCTCATAGTCGTAAGAATCCCTGGAAATCCATGAATAACCCCTAAAAAATAGTCACCCAAGCAGAGGTTATCTGAGATCTGGGCACAGTGGGTACATGTGAGTCCCAGGTCCGCCCTTGAAAGCCACAAACAAAGAAAAAGAAAACAGACATTCTTCACCTGGAAAGAGAAGGTAGTAAGTTAAGAGTCAGGAAGGTGGTCACCTCCAAAGTCACCAGAAATAGTAAAGCTTCACAGGAGAGGCAAGGCAATCCCAAACGGAGAACTTACACAAGTCTGGCCACAGCAAGGGCTCGCTCTGCATCTGAAGTCCCCTGGGAACACAAGAGGCTGCATCAACCACCATCCCTGACACAGAAACACATGCACAAACACATCTGTGCATGCCATACGTGCGCATGCGTGCACACGCAGCCACAAATAGAATCTGCTGGCATTCTCTTAAACAGCCAGCCAGCCCACTGGACTGGGTCACTGTCGGAGGTAAAAATTGGACTTAAAAGGGCTAAAAAATGTCCTCAAAGCTGTGATTACTTTCAAACATATAAAAAAGTTAACAAAATTTTATAGTGAACATTCATATACTCACTACTTACATTCTACAATTAACATTTTGCTATATTTGCTTTATCATGTCTACCCATTATTCTTAGCATTTTTTAAAAAATTTAAACATCATTCAAAACCTATTTCTGAAAAGTCACCAAAAATGCCCAAAGTGAGAGAAGAGCACTAGGAGTCATTATAACCCTAACATAAACAAACTACTCTTGAGGAAACCTAATTTTCTTTCTATGGGAAATATATACAGACTATACAAAAACAAAGAACATGAACTAAATAACCAATTGTAGGGGGTAAAAATATTTAAGTCATGCCAAACAAATAATTCCTACAACTAAGGAAATTAAACTTGACACTGGAGGCATGTAACAGAGAACTATGGCCTGATTTCCTTAAATTGTCTCTACCAGTGTAATTGCTCATGAACAAATCTTTGAAAAACATTAAAGCAGAGTCTTAGGAAACCACAACTATGCAACAGAGCCCAGGCGTTTAAAGATGGGTGAGCCTGGGGAGGGCGCTCAGCCCTGGGATCTCATACCATCTGGAAGACAACCCTGCTCTGTTCTCTTTTGCAGGTGCGGAAGACTACTCGGTCATCAGGAGCAACAAAGTCCACTGTGCTCAGCACCTCTGCAAGAAAACACAAACACATGGGGCCACCCAATGAGGAAGCAAGTTCAACCTAGCCTATTCCCTGGAAGAAAACACAGCAAAAGTATCACTTTGAAGGGGAAAAAGGGATACTGGAAGTACACACAATTCTTAAAAGAAATCAGTGTACACATGGAGGCTTCTGAGGTGCTGATGATGGTCCCTTCCCTGACTTAGGTGATGGTTAGTTACATGGTTGATTGCTTTACAGCTACTTGTTATACTGCATGCTTGTGTTTTATGCACTATCTTGGTGTAGTGTTTACATTTCACAATTTTTAAAACACTGGAAAAAAATGTACATACAAGAAACCTTGTCTATGTTTCAGATTTGGCCCATATTTTCCCAGCTGTCACTCTGAAGTTCAATAAAGTTGCCCTTGCTTTTTGTTTGTTTGTTTGTTTGTTTGTTTGTTTTTAATGTTTACTTTTTAGAGAAAGGGAGAGAGAGACAGAGTGCAAGTAGAGGAGGGGCAGAGAGAAAAAGGGGGTTGCACAGAATCCGAAGCAGGCTCCAGGCTCTAAGCTGTCAGTTAAGAGCCCAATGCAGGGCTCGAACTCCACAAACCATGAGATCATGACCTGAGCCAAAGTCAGTCACTTAACCGACTGAGCCACCTAGGCGCCCCTTAGTTGTTCTTACTTAATTATTTATCATGTGCTAAGTACTATGAGTGGAGATTTATTCAATTACAGTCAACTCTCATTATGTGGACTTATGTACTTGCAGATTTGCTGGCTTGCTAAAATGTATCTATAACCCCAAAATCAATATGTAGAACTACCAAAAAATATTCGGTCACCTGATGCATGTCTTCCCAGCTGAGATCAAACAAGGCAATACTCTACCTTCTTGTTTCAGCTGTCATTCTGTAAATAAATGTCCTTATGGTGGTATATTTAATGCCACATTTATGTGCCTTTTGTTGCTCCCACCATTTAAAATGGTCCCAAGCACAGTGCTGAAGTGCTATCTAGTGTTCCTAAGCACAAGAAGGATGTGAAGTGCCTACTGGAGAAAATGCATATCAAACAACATTTGTTCTAACATGAAGTTGTAGTGCTGCTGGCTGTGAGTTCAATGCTGGAGTAGAAACACACGTAAAACAAGGTTATGTATCGATCTGTTGGTGAAAATGTTGTGACCAGAGGCTCGCAGGAATCTAATCCTGTATTTCCCTCAAGAACAATGGTTCAGTATTTGCTAGTTTGGGTTTCAAAGCAACTTTATAGAACATAACTATTGCAAATAACAAGAATTTCATATGCTCCTTCAAAATAGAGCTCTACGGTAGGTACTACCATTATTAGCTTTCAAAGATGACTGCCACATGAAAGAGATCCAACGTAGCAGATGAGAGAATACGCCTACCTTGTGCATTTATTTTAAGAAATAAATGAGATCTTTAATACACGTCAAGCACTTCCACAAATGGAACCAGTTATTATCACCCCAGCACTAAACAGATTAGAAGGTTAAAAATGTAGGATAGAGGTGGTGACACGTTGGGAGCGGTAATTGAAAAGAATTCCCACAGTACAGGCTCATGACTGGCAGTAGGAAGACTGGGAGAAGAACCACAAAAACTCAGTGTGTTTATACTATAGCTTTATTATAACAGCAAAATACTGGAAACCCCTGTTAAAGCACGGATGAAATCAATTCTGATATAGTTATCTGTAGGTACTAACATGGGAAAATGTCCTAGCAAAAAAGTAAGAGGCAAAATATGCACAGCCTGATCCTAAGAAAGGGTGTAGATATAAATATGTTCTATTTTTTTTTTATTTTTTTTTCAACGTTTTTTATTTATTTTTGGGACAGAGAGAGACAGAGCATGAACGGGGGAGGGGCAGAGAGAGAGGGAGACACAGAATCGGAAACAGGCTCCAGGCTCCGAGCCATCAGCCCAGAGCCTGACGCGGGGCTCGAACTCACGGACCGCGAGATCGTGACCTGGCTGAAGTCGGACGCTTAACCGACTCCGCCACCCAGGCGCCCCAACATGTTCTATTTTTATATACACGCTTTACTAAATGTATAAAAAATATACATTATTCCTCTCTGTGATTACTTCTTCAAATAGTAGTTTATGGGGGATTTTCATTTTCTAGGTTATACAGGTCTATAGTAATAAATTTTTCATAACAAAAAAACTATCAATCTAAAACAATTAAAGACAAAATTGAGTCATAACTTCTGGCAAACTGATATTAAGGTTTCACAAACGTGCGTACATTTCGAAAACCTCAAACAATACCACAGTTCTAATCAAAACAGAATCAGCCTCATCAATAAAGCACCAGCAAAACCACAATTTAGCACAACCACTTCTATCTGCAAAGTACTTACATGTACCTTATCTTATTTGATTCTCACTCCAACCCTATGATTTAAGTAAAGCAGGGATTTTGATTTCAATTTTACAGCTGAAGAAATGGAGGCAGAGAGGTCATATGACTTGCCCAAAGTCACACAGCTATCGGGTAGCAGAGCCAGGAACAATGCTGAAGCCATCCCAAGCCCAAGGCTTTTCTATGTCAATTTCTATGCCAGCAAGCCTGTGATGGAAGGTTATCTCAGCCTGTTCCACATCTGGCTCTTTGTCACAGTCTCTGGAGAGTAGTGACTCTTTTCAAGGGAGCACATGATCCACAAAATTACACAGCCAGACAAGGAGCACACTGGAAGGACACCGTCACCGCAGGCAAGGGCAGTGGTAGTGCTGCATGGCCCTGACCAGGCACATGCACAATCCTGGGACCAGAACTGCACTCACCATTAACAACTCTCTTGCACTGAAGCATCTTGAGATCAATCAGCTCCTGCAGAGGAATCAGAGGGCATTTGTCAGTGCTGGTCATGTAGGTAATGGGTACAGGGGAGGGACCTTCATCACAAACCTAATGGGGGTCACTTGGCCTGTCACCCTACTACTAACAACAAATTATGGCTTTGGGGAAATGTAGTGCTGACCTCCTCACCTAAACATGGCAATCAGGAGCCTGAGTAAGCTACCCTCAATCAGCTGCTCTTCCCAGGGCCCTTGGAGATACTGGGGGCCTAGAAAGGGTGAGCCACTCAGGGAGCCAAAGACAAGACAACGGCCCAGATTATGGACACCTAGACACTCTCCTCACCTACTAATCTCAGCTCCAGTCGATCCCCTCAAAGAACCTCACACCTCATCCTTATACAAACAGCAGACAATGAAGGGCTCCCAGGAAATATCCAAATGACAGAAGCAGGACCAGTGAATAAAAGTAGAGGGAGAAGATTTGAGTCTAAAACTCCTGTCCAACATGGGTCATACTGTGTGGAAACAAAAGGGGTGAGCTCTTTAGCTCTGGACATATTCAAACAGACTCAGGAAAGAAAGGACAAAGAGGTTTCTTCAAAATCAGTATCATGAAAATGAATGACAAGCTCATGTCTCCTGAAGGATTGAGATTCTCTGCCTCTTGGTAGGAGACAACTGTTTTGCTTTGTTCAGCGATCATTTCAACAAATGTGTAAAATAAATCACAAGAGCCAGGCACCTGTCACACTTCCCAGAAACTTATGCCCAGGGGTTCTGGGGGTTCAGAAAAATACAGGAAGGAACTCTGTCCCCTGGTCCTCATCCCCATACTGACTACCCATGAGCCTCAGCAACTCTAGCCAGGTAGGCACAATAGCCTTTGCTCCCTCAGGGGAGCATGTAGGGCTAAAGTGGCCAAAGGGCACCTACAGCATCCGTGGGGCTCCCCCTAGCATACTCATCATCAAGGTTAGTACACACTGTTGGTGTTCCTGTGGCTCCCCACTCCATGTTGCAGTCAGGTCAACAAGTATCTAATGTCTACTAGGCCTGGCCAAACAAATCACCATTACCAAACAGTTATGGATAAACAGACGCCATTTAAGCCCCAAGAATCAATGTGGCGTCTCAAGGGATGGACAGAGCCCAACCAGACCCCTATAGCCAGTGATCTCAGTTGCAGGAGCAAGCAAAAACGCAAGGGGACAAGTGGGCGGCACTGAGTGGCCTGTACTCATAAAAAGAAGTTCTGCAAGGGCGCCTGGGTGGCTCAGTCTGTTGAGTGTCCAACATTAGCTCAGGTTATGACCTCACGGTTTGTGAGTTTGAGCCCCGCATTGGGCTCTCTGCTGTCAACATGGAGCCCATTTTGGATCCTCTGCCCATCTCTCTCTCTCTGCCCCTCCCCCACTCGTATTCTCTCTCTGTCTCTGTCTCTCTCTGTCTCTCTCTCAAAAAATAAATAAAACATTAAAAAGAAGCAGCAGCAGCAGCAGCTCTGCAGCCAGGCTGGGCTTTGGCTGGAGAGGAGCTGGGTAAAGCAAGGGTGGCCCGTGCTGGGGCCCCAGCCCTGCCAGCAATAACTTGTCCTCCCCAGGATTCCCAAACCACCCTCTGCCGAGTCCACCTTTACACTTCTTCATATGCCAGTTATAGATACACCTGTCATATCTTTACCATTAGACTGTGAACCCCCCGAGGAGGATCCTGTGTCCACACAAGAGTAGGCTTTGAGGACCCAGGCCAGGTAGCCTGAGCCCCAAGAGGAGGAGTTAAGGCAAAATGGTCCTTGAGATGTCTTATTTTCTTTTCCGTCGCCCCACCATACCAAAAGAGCTTTTGGGGCCTGGGTACTGTCTCATTCATCTTCAAATCACCAACATCCAGCACATTGCAAGTTCTCACTTAACATCTGCTGAAACCTCAAGACCTTACACAGACCTTACACAAGATCTTACACAAAACCTTTCTCAACTGCTTAAGTGGAGAAATTCATTTAAATTGTCACCAATAAAACCACAAGTGTGTCCGCTTACTCACATATCCTCAACACCACTGTTCATTTTAGTTAGTTCTATGGGTATAAAATGGAACCTCATAGTTTTGTTTTGTTTTTCACTGTATTTCCTTAATTAGTGAAAACAAACATTGTTTTTCCAAGTGGGACAGTTTATCATCTGTGAATCTTTGTAGAAAACTGCCTTTTACATCTATACAAGTTGCAGGAAAAAGTCTATTCTTTGTCAAATTGGATATTGAGTTTTTCTGTCTCTATTATCACAAATACTTTTCCTATATCACTACCACTCCTCAATTTTTTTTTACCTACACCCCATTTTTTTTCTATTTTTAATTGACATAGTTGACATCATTTTTTTTTTTTAAGATTTTATTTTTTAGTAATCTCTACACCCAACATGGGGCTTGAACTCACAACCCTGAGATCACCAGCTGTATGTTCTCCCTGCTCAACCAGCCAGGCACCTCAGCTGACATATAATATTACTTTCAGGTCTATAACATAGTGATTCAACAATTCTATATGTTATGAAATGCTCACTACAAGAAGTGTAGTTAGCATATGTCACTACACAAAGTTATTACAATATTATTAACTCTCTTCCCTATGCTGTACTTCTCTTTTTGTTTTTTCCTTTTAGGGAACTATGCTATACTTTTCAACCCTGTAACTTTATAACAAGAAGTCTGTACCTCTTAATCCCCTTCACCTATTTCACACACCCCCCTACCTCCTCTCCTCTGGCAACTACCAGTTTGTTCTCTGTATTTATGAGTTTGTTTCTCTTTTCTCTGTTGCTTTTTGTTTATTTGCTTTGTTTTTTAGAGTCCACACGCAGTGAGATCACACAGTATTTTTCTTTCTCTGTCTGACTTATTTCACTTAGTATAATACTCTCTAGCTCCATCCATGTCGTCACAAACCTCAATTTCTATCAGACATAACATTCTATTTTTATAGAAGAGACCACCCTAACTTTGCCATGAACAGTGCCTTCTCATTGCTAAATATATCTCTATCGTATGGTTAAGAATATAATTTTAATTGTTTTTTCTTTTTAAAACTAATTTAGCTTTTTAATTTATCTGAAAATTAAGGCCATTTATAAGTCACTTTTTCCTCACATGGCTATCCAATGTTCTGAACATTTAATTTAATTTGATTTAATTTAATTTAATTTAATTTTAATTTTTTTTTTAATTTTTTTTTTTAACATTTATTTATTTTGAGATGAAGAGAAGAGACAAGAGCATATGGAGGGGCAGAGAGAAGTGGGAATCTGGCTCCAGGCTCAGGCTCTGGGCTGGCCTGGGGGAGCCAGCATGAGCTTCCGAACTCTGGACGCATTGAGATCATGGCCCTAAGGCAAAGTCAGGCCTTAACAGAGCCAGGGAGCCACCCCGGCCCCAGTTTTTTAATTTTTTTTTGAAAATTAGGCTTCACCATGGGGCCAGACTCCTGGCTTGCCAAGGATCAGGAGTCCAGAATTAACTCCTTCCAAATTGGCCCCTAACTGAAGCCCCACTTAACATGAATTCTAAAAAATTTTTTTTAACATTTATTTATTGAGACAGAGAAGAGACAGGCATGAGCCTGGGAGGGAGTGAGGGGGGGGGGAGAGAGAAGGAGACACAGAATCTGAGCAGGCTCCAGGCTCTAGGCTATTAGCACAGGAGGTCCCAACATGGGGCTTGAACTCTGGCAGATCGCTGACCTGAGCTGAGAAGTTGGACCTTGCTGACTGAGCCGGGTGCCTTTGATCACGGCATTTATTTTTTAAAATGAAATGCCTGCCTTGCTCCGAGTGCCTGGGTGGCTGGCGCCAGTCGACGACAAACTTCAACCAGGTCGATCTCAGCAGGACGTGGTCCAGGCTTTGGCATCCACTCTGGGCTGATGGCTCAGAGCTGGAGCTATTTCAGGTCTGTGTCTCCCTCTCTCTGCCCTCCCGAACTAATGCTCTGCTCTCTCATCAAACAAATAAGCGTTAAAAAAAAATTTTTAAAAAAATAAAAATGCCCACCCCATCAGGTGGGAATGCAAGCTGGTGCAGCCACAATGGAAAACAGTAGGGGTTCTCTAAAAACTAAAAAAAATGAGAACCACACCCTACAACCCAGCAATTTTCACTAGGCATTTATCCAAGGGATACACGGGGTGCTGTTTCCAGAAGGGCACATGCACCCCAATGTTTACCAACATCACTCATCAATAATGTAAAATCTGGAAGAATCCAATGTCATGATCGTTGGAAGAAAATAATTCTGTAAAACATCAGAATCCTCAGTGTACTGCCATACCTTTGTGTGGTGGTGTTCTTCTACTCATGACTGTGTAAATCAAAAGAATAATCCTCACCTATCTATTTCCCAGAATAGTGATCCGAGACAGTGTGGCGCTGCCTGCAGTGATCTAGTAGTCAATGACAGTCATCAGCAAAATCATGCTGAACTTCCTTCACTGCATAGTGGACAGTGACTTACAAGTGAATATCAACAAGATGGTGACCATCAGTGACTCATACATGCCTCTGAAAAACAGGGGGAGGGGAGGCCAGCACTGCAAGAGACTCAAGCTCACTTTGGAGGAGCCCCAAGCTTCCAAGGGGTTATTCACGGGAGAGGGGGTTGAGAGGAGGGGAGATGGGCTAGAAATACGGCTTCAAAGATCTACTCACCAGGAAATCATTGTTACTGCTGTACTTCCAGCTAATTTGGATGAAATTTAAAAAAAAATTAAAACAAATTTAAAAAAAAGTTAGCATACTAAAAAAATAAAAATAAAATAAAATAAAATAAAATAAAATAAAATAAAATGCCTTATCAGGGGCATCTGAGAGGCTCAGTCAGTTAAGCACCTGACTCTTGATTTTGCCATCAGGTCACTTGATCTGATTGGTGAGATTTGAATTTAGATCCAGCTCCATGACCTTGAGACACCTGCTTGAAAATTTCTCTTTCTCTCACTCTCTTGCCCCCACCCCTGTTCACATACTCTCTCTCTCAAAATAAATGAAATGAAATGAAATGAAATGAAATGAAATG